TTGTGGGGCATTAACACCCAACCGCCCTCAGCTTCTGTCTGACCTGCTTGGGCCTCTGTTACTTCAAAACCCAGGAGTGAGAAGAACTGCTGAAATGGCAGTTTATTCACCATCAGGCTAATTACTTCTTTTCCCAAGATCGGGACTGTATTTTGGAAGGGCTGGGACACTGAAAGCCGAGAACACCCTGCCTACTGGGGCAGGGAGGCCAAGGCAGTGTTTGTGTCCCTTCAAGAGGAACAGGCGATTAGCAAAGAACCCAAAAGCAGGGCACAAAGTGGAGGGGCTTGTAATGCAGTCTGCAGACCAGCCCAGCCAAGAAGCAGGTTGCAACAGACTCAGAAGCCTGGACTCAGGAGGGGCTCCACGGCACTCAGCTGCTCCCAAGTAGAAAGGAAAGTCCAGCAGAACGCACGTGAATGGCGCGGTGCCTGGGAGGGCGCAGAGGCTGCCTTTGGTCGGGAGCTGTAAGACCACCGCGCCACACGCTTGGCACAGAGGGATGCTGGTCTCGTTTTTCTCTGAATAAGCGACACATTTTATTTACCTAAATATCTGTTCCTCAGCATTCTTAGCTATGATCACTGCGGACTGGTTCTGCAGACATACGCTGGTTGGGAAACATTTTAGAGGTTGCTCTGGCCCAGAGGGTAAAGTCCTGGTGGGGGTGAGGTCACCAAGCTGAGGAGGAGAGCTTGACAGAGGGGAGAGGGAGATTTGTTCCTAGTTGATTAATAGAACATTGGACAAATTATTTCATGTGTCTCAGCCAGGCTCTTGTAATATTTGAATGTGTGGTTGGATTGTTATGATCTGTAAACGTTGGTTTCCCCTTAAACTTTCTATGGATTTAAGAGGATTGGAGAATCAGAGAACTGCCCTAATACAGAGGATTTTTTTGTATCTTCACTTAAGCAGACATTAGAAATAAAAACATAGCAGGGAAAGGGGAGGGAATAATGAGTTAAAACTTTCTGATTACAGCAACGCACGTCACCAGCAGTAGTATGTGCACCAGGTCTTGACGGACTGTCGGCCAGGCTTCTGACTGTTTTAAAGGCGGAAGTAGAGACAGCGGCAGACGACTGAATTTGATTTTCGTAACAGTGGTACTTTGATTATTTCCATTAAATGGAGGGGGACACTGAGACACAGAGAAGACATTCTTGGGTCACATAATTATTAGGAAATGGAACCAGATGCTTCTAGTCCCCAACCTTGACCCATTTCCCCATCCTGCTACGTCTGAGTTCTGTGCTTCACACCGGGGGATGGGCCTCTGACATTTTGGATTTTACAGTTATTTTTAAATGCCTTGTGGGCAGTTAACGATGTTTGTTGAAGCTTAATATGGGGAGAATCATCTGACCAAATCAATAATAATTTGTAAGTACTTTCTTCTTTTCTAGACTTGCTAGCAAATTTAAACCATAACCATGTCTTCTCCCGGACAGCTGGCAGGAATAAATGAAGTAACTATACACGTCGGTATCCAGGTAGTTATAAAATATCTCACTTATTTGAATCATCTGGAAGTCCAAACTAGATCAGCCTCAAGGAGTTTGAGATCACATAGCAGTTGGCCCTTACTGTGGCTAAAAATAAACTGTTACCATCACCATCGCCACACTCGGACATTTTAGCTTATCTGCTCACGTGTACAGCATCTTAACACTTTCTAGTTGTGGCTTTTCCCATTGCTAGTAAACATAATCAGTAGCTCGAGGACCTCACCCCCAGCAGGAGCCACCTGCATCCTTACAAAAATGGGCTAACATAGAGGTCGACTCCTTCGCTGATGTTCAGACCATCAGTGTTGCAGACAAGAACCAAAGCCGACCATTCAAAAACTTTTGCAGACAAAGGTAGTGCTGTAACTGTTTCAACTTCATCTTGAGGCTGTCGGAATTAGGGCCTATTTTCTTACCTACTCTGCTTTTGGCATTTTAAGAATAAATTAAAGAAGGAAAGTGAACTGAGTCAGAGGTAGCAGTTCTACTTCTCACAGGGCACAGCAGTGCTTTCAGTGTTGGGAACTGAAAGCTGACCAATAATTCCACTCCCTGGAGGTCACCGCTCTTAATAGTTCGGTGCGCATCTGTCCAGATTTTTGGTAAGCTGTTGCTATATACAAATACATCGTATTACTTGTCTGTGGCTAAAATCAGGTTTCATAACGTTGCCACAAAGCCTCAGAGACCCACAGCTATTTATTTGACAAGGCTGCAGGGTTCTCTGATCTGGGCGGCCTTGCTCATGTGTCTGTGGTCAGCTGTGAGTCAGCCAGGTGGCTGTCCTGCCCACATGTCTGGGGAATCAGCTGGCCAAGGCTGATCGAGGGTGGTCTTTGCTGGGATGACTGGGTGACTCAACTTTATTCCATTTGTCTTTCATCCCCCAAAAGGCTAGTCCAGACATGTTCTCACGGTGACAGCCAGGCACATGAGTGGAACATACAAGAGGTTTTACTGTACAATTTCTTCTTGAAGTAACTACACACTTGCTAACGCTCACTGGCTGAAGCAAGCTGCGTGGTCAAACTCGGTGTCAAGGTAGAGGAAAACAGACTCCACTTTCATGATGGAAACGCTGCAGAATCCACGGTCCAGGGCAAGGACAGAGGGATGCAGAACTGGGGCCATCGACACACTAGCCTGACAATCTCTGAAACGTATTTTAACAAAGAAGCGTATTGTTAATTGCTTGTTTTTAACAACTGTGAGGTGATATCCTGTCATTTTATGGCTTATGCTATGCTGAAGGTCTTTCTTAACTTGAAATAGATACAACGCAATCTTTTCAACATTGCAAAATGTTCCTTTACATGGTTACACCAGGAGTTTGTATCCAGTCCCTGAATGATGGACATACACACTGTTTCCTGTTGGGGAATTTCTGAGCAGTGCTGTGGCAGACAGCCGTTCACATCAAGGTGTGTGTGCTGACACTAGCATTTCAGTAAATGGAACCTGGAGAAAAAGGACTGTGGGGTCCCTCCTGCTTTATCCTCCAGTGAGGCTCAGACACTTGTAGTCCCTGAATGTGCCACCATCTTCTGCGCCTCCACGTTTCAAACACTGATTCTTCTGAAATCCTTCCCCTCTTCCATTTGATGGGCGACAGGGAAACCCATGGTAAAGGGAATCAGCATGTGACGTGACCGGTGACTGGCTCGCAGTCTCCCCGTCAGAGCCCCCCTGCAGCACCCACGTTCGGTGCGTGCAGTGGGGCCGTTAGAGCCACTCTCACCGTCATTCTAGTCTCTACCCAATCATGAAGTCTTCTCTGAACTCCTTAAGCAGACAGGTGCTGCTCCTCTGCACATCCGGACACTCCCGTCCGTCACCGTCCCACTGAACCACGTCTGCTGTTATGTCTCTGTTGGGACGGTCAGCTCCTGGCGAGCAGGAAGGTTGTCATTCTAGCCTCAAAGCTCCATTTCCAAGGGCTGCTGGACCCCAGTAGAAACTTAAATGTGTGCTAACTAAAAACCTTACACTTGGGGTCAAAAATTTTTCATAAAATTGGAACTGTTCTCGATTCTAGCTTTCACTTTTCATCTAGTTGCCAATGGAAAGAATTCCATGTCACGCTTCACCCATTTCACCAAGAGCCACACACTTACGGGCTTTTGCGTAGCATCATTTGCTCGACATACGAAGTGTCCTCCACCTCCTGAGTCACTGGTGTGAGTGCCGTGACAGTGTGGGTACCTCCGGGACCAGGAATCAGAGTAGGAGGAGAGCAAAGAAATGAATGCTCAGTAATGCTTGCAAATGATGCTTTTATATCAAGAAGCTACTTCACACTAGCCGATACGAAGCACTCGGTAAGTTACCTAAGTTTTCTCTCAGCTAATTCCTTCCCTCCCTCAGGCCTCCGGAAAACCAGAAGCAATGTCCATCCACAGTGTTGGCAGCAACACAAAACCACGTTTGTCCCCAGCATTCAGATCTTTTGTTTGGAAGACACAGAGCAGGAGGTCTGGAGGAGCACTTCCCAGGGACCAGAGCCCTGTTAGTCATGAGAGCGGATGTTTAACGTTACAAGTGGCACTGTGCCAGCCCTCAGGGACAGTTTAATAAATCGGTCTGTGCGATACGTGGGACTTCTCAGATGGTGCGACTCTGAGCTGAGTGCTTCTTGTCTAAGAGCCCTGGGACGCCCTCCACCTGTGTCCCTGTTGGAGTGGTTTTCTCCTTCCTAGCGACACGTGTGATGGCTCCACAGACAGACACTTGTTGATGCCTCTCCTGAAGCTTGCTTTGTCTGCGTGCCTCACTTCACGATCATGCCATTATTGTGGAGGTTTGTTTTATGTCAAAGAGTGTGATTATTTTGGAAGTTCTATTAGAGAGACAGAATGTAGGTAATTTTCTTTTTTAATTCTAATACAGTCAGTTACAATGTGTCAGTTTCTGGTGTACAGCACAATGTCCCCATCACGTACATACACACATATATTCATTTCATATTCTTTTCCATTAAAGGTTATTACAAGATATTGAACATAGTTCCCTGAGCTGTACAGAAGAAACTTCCGGGGTTTTTTCCATCTATTTTTATATATAGTGCCTAACATTTGCAAATCTCAAAACTCCCAAGTTTATCCCTTCCACCCTTTTCCCCTGGTAAACATGAAATTGTTTACTATGTCTGTGAGTCTGTTTCTGTTTTGTAGATGAGTTCATTAGTGTCCTTTTTCTTTTTTTTAGATTCCACATATGAGTGATATCATATGATATTTTTCTTTCTCTTTCTGGCTTACTTCACTTAGAATGACTATCTCTGGGTCCATCCACATTGCTGCAAATGGCATTATTTTATCCTTTTTATGGCTGAGTAGTATTCCATTGTATAAATATACCACATCTTCTCTATCCAGTCATTGGTCGATAGACGTTTAGGTTGCTTCCATGTCTTGGCTGTTGTATGCAGTGCTTCTATGAACGTTGGGGTGCATGTATGTTTTCGAATTAGAGTTCCCTCTAGACATATGCCCAGGAGTGGGACTGCTGGATCATATGGTAACTCTATTTTTAGTTTTTTGAGGAATCTCCATACTGTTTTCCATAATGGCTGTACCAGACTACATTCAATATGGGTAATTTTCTGCTGTTCAAAACCAGGGAAGCAGATGGCAGGGTACCAATGGCAGACTTTAGAAAGAACATCCAGGCAGTCCAGGGCCCCAGACCCTACAAAATCACAGCTTCATGTTGCTTCTCTTGTTTTCAGCTTTAAAGATATATTGATTAGAAGCTCCTCTGTGTCCAGAACCTAATAGACAGGGGGAAAAATCAGGGAAATCAAAACAAACAAAAAAATGTACCATTGTCAAAATGTAACAGAGAGCCTTCCCACAGTGTCAGGGCCTCCCCCTCACGCCCTCAGCCTCTCAGCTTCCCCACTCTCCTCCCTTGTCCATTTCCTGGCCAGGAAAGCACGTGTCTTCCCGTAGCTCCGGCGGCACTTGTGCAAAGACCGCTAATTCCAGGCCATTGGGAGGGCTCCGTGGGAGGCAGTTGTCTGCAGTCACACACAAGCTGGCAGCACAGCTCTCAAACCCATCATTTATCAGACCATCAGGGGCCAGATGAGCTTAGATGGGGGTCTGCGTGGAAGTCGCTGCAGAGCTGGGAGGGCTGCCCGCCCGCCTGCCCTTGGCCCTGCCCTGCCCACTTTGATCAGAAATTCCACGTCCCCTTCTGGACTGTAGGTCTTACAACACGGTTAAAATTACCAAAGAGGATGAAGAAAAATCGATTCTTCCTTTATCGGGAGATGTACCTCTCCTGCTTCAAAAGGACTGTAAGGGGATTCCCCTCCAGGGATGGACTTTACTTTTTAAGGGAGCTGGAACCTCCAGGTGGCCAGGCCCTGAGCATACTGCATTTCCAGAGTTCGAGAAGAATGCTGTATCCTGGAAAGAAAAGTGAACCAGGGGGTGGGGGGACCAGAGTGTCAGCCAAGCTCTGTTTCCATCCAGCTGCGTGTCTTCTCAGAACGCCCCCCACTCTGTGAACCCCCGGTGCTGGGGGCGGGGCTTCTGAGACCCCTCTCACCTCTGTCGGCGGCGCGGTGGCTCAGGAGGGCACCGTCCTCCTGCCGTGCTCTCTCCAGCGCATTCTGCATCTGCTGCCTGTCTCCCCGTAACCCATCACGCCCTCTCCCTGCCTGCCTCCCTCCCACCCACCCACACCTGTTATCTGTGATCTTTTCTCACATATATGTTCCTTTTCAGATTCTATTCCATTATAGGCTACTACAAGGTATTGAATGTAGTCCCCTGTGCTGCACAGTGGTGCCTCGTTGTTTATCTGTTTAGTATATAGGAGTGAGTGCCTGCTGGTCCCCAGCTGCTAATTCACCCCCCCCTTCGGTCACTGCAGTTTGTTCTCTATGTCTGTGACTCTACTTCTGGTTTGTAAATAAGTTCATTTGTATCATTTTGGGGGGAATTCCAGATATAAGTGATATATGATACTTGTCTTTCTCTGACTTACTTCACTTAGTGTGACAGTCTCCAGGTCCATCCATGTTGCTGCAAATGACATTACTTTATTCTTTGTTACAGCTGAGTAGTATCCATCGTGTATAAATATACCGCCGCTTCTTTACCCACTCATCTGTCGATGGGCATCTAGGCTGTTCCCATGTCTTGGCTACTGTAACTAGTGCTGCTGTGAGCACTGGGCTGCAGGTGCCTTTTATGAGTTAGAGTTTTCTCCAGATGTACGTGTGTCATTTTTATAGCTAGATTTAGAACCATTCTTTAAGTTCTACTCTGACTGAACTTAGATGTTCTCTCACTTTCTTGGACCTTGACTTTATTCTTGAGCTTTATTTTTGCTGCAGCTATTGTCCAACTGAAATGTAATCTGAAGGTCACTTTTTTCTCAAGGTCGCCTGTAAGGTCTTTTTCTCTTTCATCTCTAGGTGCCTGTTACCCAGTCCAGTGCCGGACTCCCTCTCCTCCCTTCATTTGTCAGTGGCCTAGTTAACGTGTTACTTTGCCTGCCTTTCTGTGTGAATGCCTATGAGATACTTTATTCTCAAATTCTGAAAAAAAGATTTACTAATACTTTTCAAAGCCTGGCTCTCTGCCAGGGCAGCAGGAGGGCGAGACACAGCAGCACAGGGTGCGGGCTGTGAGGAGACGCTCGCTCTCTGGGTGCTGAGTTCTGGGCTCGGGGACAGAAGAACGGTCATCGCTCTCTAGCTTGGCACATAGGGGACATCTGATGTCCAGACACAGACCCTCTGTGGACAGGCGACAAGCTCCTGTCCTTTTCCAGGCGCTTTCCTGGGCTCTGGGTGCCTCGTAGATCCTGACGTCATGATGCCTGTGGGTCTTAGTTCTTGATGCTGTTAGGGCTTGCTCTCGGGATGTTCTCTGATATCCTGATGGGATTTTGGGAGAAGATGTCACTTCCCAGGAGCCAGACACCATTTTAAACCAGAGTCTGAGATGCAGTGCTCTGGGTTAAGAATGAGATTTTGAATTTTACAAGTTCCTGAATTCCCCAATGAAGCAAACTTAAAAGGAGAAAATCAGAGGGTGAAGCAATGAGTCTTGGTCTATTTTTGTATTTCCTAAGAGTCAGCGAATGATAATAAATTGTAGGCTTGCTCAGGAGACTCTGTGGTTCTTTACAAACATAAAGGATCATTGCTTGAACTTATGACCAGAGGCGCCCCCTACCCCTCCCTTTCGGGGCTGTCCTCCTCTCTGCCCTGGATACAGGTGCATTTCCTGCCCTTTCATGGGGTTCCCCCAAATGACCGAGACTCTTTGACTTCTCTCGCCGCCTCTGCAGCACCAAGGAACATTGTGCTGCTTTCTTGAAATGAGCTTTTTTGCTTTGTCACAAAGCCCAGGGAGGGTGAGAACCAGCTCCTTCTCTCTCTCTGCTTGACTGTGGAGAGGCTTCATAGGACTCTGCTACCAAGCGCAGTGTGACCTGTACCAGCCTTTAATTTACGTCTGATGCTTGAATATCTTGATGGTTTGGTTTTACAAGAGCTGCTCCCCAAGACGGGGTCAGTGTGGGAGCCGGTTACAGCCGTAAGTCTTCCTCGCCCACAGAAACCAACTCAAAAAACAACAAAAGGGATTTGTCTTTCCAGCCTTCCAAGGCACATTTGGAGTGGGGGCCCTCAGAACATCAGCAGGAAAAGAAATACTGACATGGCTGGACCTGGCCCGAGGGAGGCAGGCGGCCGCCTCCTCTGCTCTGGGCTCACACATCAGGTCCTCACCGGAACCACCTTCAGGCCATGGCCATGAAAAGAGCATGTTTTCCCTTGAATTTTCTGCTGCCAGAGGCTTCCAATAACAGGCACGTGGTTTTGTTTGGTTGTAGAGACTAAAAAAAAGCATGTGTACTTGGGCCAGATTTATTTATTTTTCAAGGTAAATTACCTTTGCCTTATAGCTCCGGTCCTCCCCCGACAGAAGAAAGTCTTTGAAAAACATGTGATGTCTGTTACCTGTGTGCAAGACTCTGGGCAGAATGATTAATACTGAGATGAGTACGGAAGTAGTACATTTAACATCCTTCTGTTTTTCTAGAACGTCAAAGACGGCTGTAACATCAACCAAGACTCCTGCTGCTGTTGCCTGGCTAATGGGGAGGTTGAAGGAATGGGTGCTTTAGAGCAGAAAGGACCTGGATTTTCATTCTGTCTCTTTCACTCTTGACTGTGTGTCTTTGCACAGGTCACTTCCCTCTCTGAGCCTGTTCTTCATCTGAGAAATTATACCAGTAATTCTAGCTTTGCACTGTTGTGAGACTCAGTAGTGCATCAGATCTTGGTTCGTGGTAAATGCTACATTGTGTTCTTCCTAAGACACCGTGACTTGCATTCTTGGCTGCCCCGCATCTGTCACTGGTCATAGCCCTCTCCATGAATGTTGCTTTCTAGCAGTGATGGTTCAGGCACAGAGGGAGCATAGAACAGACAGGGGTCTCCTTAGTCCTGGCCTTCTTGAATGCAGCGAGCCCACCTGGCTGGTGGACTCTGGGGCCTTCATCTGGCAAAATCAAACTGTCCCCATAAAACACTGACTCATTCCCATCCCTCAGACCCTGGCAGCCACTGTTCCACTTTTGGTCTATATGGATTTGACTCGCCTAAGGACCTCATGTAAGTGGAATCACACAATATTTGTCCTCCTGTCACTGGCTTACTTCACTTGGCATCATGGCCTTGCAGTTCATTCATGTTGCAGCAGGTGTAAAAATTCCCTTTTTAAGGCTGAATAATATTCCACTGTCTGCAAAGATCACAATTTGTCTACCTGTTCAGCTGTCTATGAACTTTGATGTTGCTTCTACTTTTTGGCTATTGTGAATTCTCATTTTGTTTTTTAGGGACAAGGAACAAATGTGTGTGACCCACCTTGTCATAATTCTTAATTTGCTTGTGAAACCCCTTCTTCTCTTCATCTTCAGGAAGAAACAAATAAGCTTCTCTCATTTTTCCTTATAATTCTAGTTTCTCCCAGTTCTCCTTCCCCATGCCTATTAGACCTGTCTCCAGATTCTCACCATGTAGAGGTGCAGTTGGAACAGCCTCCACTGTCCACCTGGACATTAAGGCGTCTGGGACCCACCTGCTCCGTCACTCAGTGGACTTTCTCACTCCCCACCTGGACTTGTTCTGTCCCTGTGCAGATCTCACATGTCTTCTCACTGCACACATCCTCCCACTCCCAGAGGCTGCCTGGTGTTTCTGCACAGCTCTCCTCCCACTGGGACGGCTCCGGTCCAGCCCAGGACAAGTGCTCGCAAGAAGCAGAGTAACAGGATGTGCCTCACTTGACTAAGGAAGGAAGATTTATTTCTAAATTCTCCTAAACATTTCAAAATATGACACTCCAGAATGCATGTGCATTTCACTTTACATGATCCAGGAGCTCTTCTTGAGCATCAGTATTCCAGCTGCAATTGAAAACTGAATACAGAAATTAAAAGGGAGATTGCTATTTAAAGAATCCTGCTGTGAGCCCTTTCACAAAGCAACTGTTGTCTACAGTGTAAGCTTCCTTAAGGATGTATTTACATAATCACATCTTCCTTTCTGAAGAAGTTGGCCTGCAGGCAGCCCAAGTCAGCCCCGACCCCAGGCTAAGCCAGTCGGCTCCCCTCACACTGCAGAGGACAGAATGATGTGTTTTTCTTATGAAATCTTATTTTAGCTGTTTCCTCTTCAAACTCCCACTCTGGAAAGCTCTTTTCCCTACCCTATTGCAACTTAAAATATGGTCCCTCTTT